TTTGATTTGCAAATTAAAACAGCAACTTAAATGTCCGTTTTCTGTACATAAAATACCTCAAATTTACTAGGATACAACTGCACAAGTAATCCATTTCAACAATAAAAAATCAATAACTGTTCAGTGAGTGAGACTCAGATCACCTCCATGCTCAGATATAGGCATTTACTAGTAAAACCACAAGGAAGGAGAAAAAATAAATGTGAAAAAATTTGATGAAAAAAAACCTGTACACATTTGATAGATTTTAAAAATATACATCAACATTATCTAGAAATAAAATAAAGCTAAAAACTAATTTGAGGGAAGAAAACATTTTTTTTACCATCAGAGTTTGTTATAATAATAACTTTATTACACTACCGAATCATCGGCGGGTTCAGTATGGTAAATAAAAAGTATTATAAGACTATTATATTTAAGACAATTCTGAATACAATACAATAAGAAAAAAATATAGTCAACCCCTCAACACTTGTACAGTACCAGTACATGTTATTTTAAAGCGCGGTAATCGTCACACATGTGCGAGATACATGTGTCTCATATAAACAAAGATGGCGACTTTGACTGTTGCGCAGATCAACGAGTACGAACTGCACGTTTCCAAGCTTTAATTAGGTAGTTTTCATGTGATTGGAAGGTATCGAAGGAGTCACCGGCGTTAATCAGTGCAAGTCGCGCTCAGGTCAAACCTCATACTTGTGATTTCTATTTGAACAGCACATTGGATTGTGGGAAAATCAATGTTTATCAACACAACAACTACCGCGCTTTAAATTGCTTGACCTAATCTCTGACTATTTTATTTTTAGAATACATCTGCGGAGCAAGGTATACAAGACCAGCTAAGCCTAGGCAAGCTGTACAGTCACTATTATCAACGTTGGGTTGGACCATTTCGTGGGACTCTTTCGCTGATACACCCTGACAGTGTTAAGGCTATTTTATCCACTGCTGGTAAGTCTAGTCTCGGAAACAATGCAAAAATCAAATATTTTTTTCCCCATCTCCCATATTGTGTATCAAAGACCCAATAGAACATAATGTTGAATGGTAAGAGGAACATAAAATGAATAATATTAATAGTTCAGGCGATTTCTCTCAAATATCACAATCATTCACTTAGATGCAACCAAGTTGAATGGTTTCAACAATATAGAGACAAATCTTATTATAACATACTAGATCTAAGTTCCATGGTCTTGTAATACCATGGTATATAGTTTGAGTTGTCAAGCATTAAGTCAAAACACCAAGATCACAGTAAATTGAAGTTTATAACTACAGGTCTTGGATCTTGAATCCAAATTGAAAATAAGTATGAAGGTATTTTGTGAAAGGCGACAAAAGCTGTGTTCAATTTTGTGTAAACAAATGTATTCTAATAATAATGTTTAATTTGTCAACATAATAATATGAGGTTATTACGAGGATACCTCAAAGTATGCACAAAGACAGTACAGCTGGAGCTGGAGTATCGACTGACCCTCTCAAATTTATAAACATGCCGCTGCTATGGATTACATATCAAACATGATGTTGTGTGACGATTATAGCAATTGTGGTTGAAATTATTTTAAATCCACTGAAGCATCATATTTTCCTTTCTATTATCGATACAACAGTTTTCTTCATTTTTATGAATATTTATAACTTTCACAGCTCAAAATGAAAAGAGAGGTGTTTCTATTGGCTGACATGATAATATTAAAACAATTTCAAGTGACGTCATTGCACACTGTGCTTGTTGACCATTTTACTAAGCTGCCATTAAAATTTTTTATTATTATATAAATGAGAATTATTAAAATTATGTTAGCACACATTATTGGTTTAATTAATTCATATTCAAATTTAACATCTCTGGTAGAACCCAAATCTCCTAACTCCTATGGAGTACTGAAAGAGTGGCTTGGAGATGGACTGTTGATCAGCTCTGGGGCTAAATGGAAGAGAAATCGTCGTCTGTTGACGCCAGCATTTCATTTTGATATTCTGAAACCATATGTTAAAGTGTACAATGATTGTGTGGAGGTGTTGATGGTGAGTATATTTTTTACCTTCGCATGGTATCGATTAAAAGGCGGTGGACATCACGACACACATGTGCAACACTTGTGTTGATAAACATTGATTTTTCAAAATCCAATGAAAATCACAGGTATGAGTTTTGACCTGTGCGCAACATGCACTGATTACTGCCGGTGAATCCTTCGATACTGTTCAATAACCAAAAAAATTACTGAGTTAAAACTTATGTATCAGTTTGGACTCTACGCAACAATCAAAGTCACCATCTTTGTTCATATGAGACCCATATCGTGCACATGTGTGGCATGACGACCACCGCCCTTTAAACACACAGGTTACAATTGAATGTTCATAGTAATATGTTAATTTCAAGCTATTTTCATACTCTTAGCATAAAAATGGTATATGGGGTTAAATAATATCTTTGGTAGGTAAAATTACTATTAAAACAGATAATGGAGTTGGTAGAATAGTCAGCTACTATTTCATGTATCTCATGCATATTGCATTTTCAGTGGTATACTTCCATGGTGCATCTCACAACATATACCGTTACTCCCATGATGCATCTTGCCTGATATAAATGCACATCATTTCATTTTTTGTGATTTTGGCCAACTATCTGCCATTTTGTTTTAAAGATTTTTTTTTGCCAGTTTTGGTTCCATATATCCAACATGCCTAGACATATATGCACATGTATTTTTGTCACTATGATATCGAATATGGCTGACTGGTGGTCATCTTGTTAAACGAATGCAGTTCCATCGAGTCATATCCCATACATGCCAAATCAACATCATTTCACATTTATAGATCATGATCAATAGTGTTGATAAATCTGGAAAATATAATGCAAATATTATTCAATTTGTCTATGATGGCAAAAGTTATCACAGGATTAATATCTGGGTTTTTTTGGGCGGGGCGGGGGGGGGGGGGGTGGGGCAATCACCTGCCTACATGAAATAGAACAATTGCATTAGTGTCCTTTAATGTTGAGACTTTTTGAAGACTGACCTGAATATACCTCAGACATGAACTTCTCAAAAGGTAATTTCTGGGGGTAAAAATTCACTATGAATGAGAATGTGTATCATATTCCCAGTGGGCATGAATACTGTTATTTAAAACATTTAGAGGGAAATATTTGCCCTGTTGAAAAGTTAGAATAAACATGCATGCCTCCATACAGGCATACAACAATTAGCACAGAATCCTGGTGAAGAAATGTATATGTATATTAATTGTTGATTTGTACACAGGATAAATGGTGCAAGGGGGATCTGGATAAACCTGTGGAATTATTTAAAGACGTTAGTCTACTTACTCTTGATAGTTTATTGAAATGTATCTTCAGTGTTGAAAGTAACTGTCAAACAGACAGGTAAGAATTACAACACTTGTGTGCTTTATTAAAAATGTTTTGTAAAATGAATGAAACATTTCTTTTTCAAGCACATGTGCTTGTACGTATATAAACAATTAACAGATGGTGATAGTCAAAATAAATCAAAATATTTGTGAATGATCAGGTAAACCAACTGAAAGTTTTTGTGCTTACTTCATATCTTAAAGGGCAGTAGTCGTTGTGCAACTTATGTGCAAGATATATGTGTCATATGAACAAAGATAACTTTAAGATAATTTGCACACTCGTTGTACAATTACCCTATTTCCCAAACTTTCTGTAGGGCACTCTATAATCTTATTTGTTTCTTCTGTAGCGGGCATAATGAATATGTGCGATCTGTCAAGCAATTGGCCTTACTATTCATCTTCAGATACAGGACATTTCTACCATCATTTTTATTTCGTCGCTTGGTTTCACATGGTCGTCAGTGGGCTGAAACGTTGGATATACTACACGGTTATACAAAACAAGTTATTGACCAGAAACGAAACAACCGAAAAAAAGAGCAAGCGACCGAAAAGACATATGTTGATTTTCTTGATATTTTACTTGATGCAAAGGTAAATTTGTATTTAATACTGCATGAAAATGAAAGTCAGCATGCTCTGATGTCTCACTTCATATGTAGCACAACTTTGAGAAAGTGCAACCATAGTGGTTTACAATCTGTTGGGGTTTATCAGAATTTATATTCATGTCAATGACTTATTCATTCTCAGGGATGAGAATGAGAATTTTAATTTTCAGCTGAAAGTGAAGTAGCCGGGGTCCGAGAACCGTACTAGTAGTTTATCAAATCGTTACAATACAGACACTGCGCCTTTCCTGGGACCTCGCACTTGCCGATGAAGTCACTCAATTTTTCAGTGACCACTTCATCTTTCTTCTCGATTCGTACGGTCAAAGTCACTTTCTTGTCAAGCCATGCTCAACGAAATTTGTTCCTAATGTCTTTATCGATCTCTCGCACAGCTGACTTGTCTTTTGTAACCAATTTCGACATTTTTGCTGCTTGAAACTTGTAAACAATTGTCCAACGCAGCTAACAATTGAAAAAATAAAATGGCACCATTGGTGAAAATGAATGAATGAAATGAAAGCTCTTCACTGATTGGCCCGTCAGAACAAACCCAGCCAATCATGTTAATCGTTACATATTACCTCAAACACTTCGAAACCACTTCGGATTTTACGATTGCACTGATGAAAAGAGTCGCGAACATTCGGCATTGGAGACATTGTGTCCCTTCGACTATACACTGATACAGGCCTCTTGCAGCCGACAACAATGACCGCCAGCATGTTTACTTCCGGCGAATGAACAAGATTTGTATTCTTACCCCCCTAAAATTTTCTCTTCGGATTTAGACGTTTCAGAAATTCTCTTCCCTGTGTCACGAAGCAAATTTTTAAGGTATGAAGAAATGATTTTGCTATAGAACCCAGTGCTAAATTTTTTAACCATTTTCCAAGACATTTCTGACTCTCGTTTTTAGGGAACTTATAAGGTGACCAATAATTTTTCAATTACCTTAAACCATGCTAATGAAAGCATGATGAGATTGAGATACATACACGTATAATCTTGAGTTTGACTCAATTTGAATTATAGGTCATAAATAGGCTTATTATACTGGTACATCTGTCACTGTAACGGCATAAGTTACAGCACACCATAATTTTGTTGTATTGCACTGATTATTCTCATCTTGCCATATAAGGAATTGCAAATTCCAAATATGGAACAATTACGCGCATGAGTGTCATCTAATAATAAAAACAAACATAGCTGCCCCTAGGGTTTGACCAGACTTTATACAAAGAAGTACGCTAATCTGTTTTGGATTTTGGCATTACCATGATGTATTCCTGGGAAGAAAAGATGTATAATAATAAGGTTATTACAAGGATATGCAAGTATGCACTCACGGTCTCATCATCGCATCGGTCGATACTCCTGCTGTACTGCCTTTGTGCATACTTTGCAGTACCCTCATTAGAACCTAATATGATGAATTGTTTGTTTTTTTATTTCCCATGCATGCACAGAAAATGGACGCATTCTGTTATTATCTAACAAAAAATACGTATTTTCTCCATTTTGATAAATTTCCACAATTCAAATGTTTTTTTTGTTTTTTTTATTGGTTGATGAAATAAAATTGAAACATTTTCAAATGATGTCATTGTGCCTCATTTCTGCTCATTAATTAGAGGTGCCATTGTCAACTACAATTGAATTTTATAAATATTTATAAAAATGAAGGGAATGGGTTTGTTGTGTTGCTAGTATCATATTTACATTCAGGGGATAAGGATAAAACTGCTAATGTGCATTTTCTCTGGGCACATGGAGCTAAGTTGAGTCAGCTTGTATGTCTACAAGAAAAAAATAAAGTTGTATTTAACTGTATAGGGGACTTGAAAAGCATAAACAAAAATGCTGTGATCAAATTTCCTTTGTATTTACACTTATTTTGTTTGAATTTTATTTTACCAAATTAAAAAATTCCATAACTGTAAAGTAAGATGTTTTTCAAGATTGCTATAGTATATCAATGTACAATTTTCTGTTGCGCGAATAATGCACCAGTCAATTAATTATTACTACCCGCTTACAGAAAATCTGTGTGTCAGTCTTATTGGCTGTAGTGGGCACACTAGTTGTCAACAAAGCTAACTACACTTCTGTAACATTTCAGTGAATTTCAGTAATCAATACCTTGAATATATAGCGAAATGAAATGAATATATTTTCTAATATTCTAGGATGAAGATGGTGATGGGCTAACTGATAAGGAGATCCAAGACGAGGTTGATACGTTTATGTTTCGTGGTCATGATACAACTGCCAGTGGAATTTCATGGTGTTTGTATAATCTAGCTAGATATCCGGAATATCAGCAAAAATGCCGAGAAGAAATTGATGAACTTGTAGAAGGAAAAGACAACAAGGAGATTGAATGGTGAGTTTATACCTAGCACCTACTAGATAACAGTTGTGTGTGTATGTATGATTATATAATATAACCGACCTGGTTACATGCATTTTAAAGACAAATGGTCAAAGGTAAAATATGTGTACATGTTGTATGTACGCAATACATACCCAAGGACAAGGGGGAAAAAAGGGCTAGTACCTTCAAACTTTACAGACATGTGAATTGAATTTAATGAAATTATCTTAGGTTAAAGGGTGGTGGTCGTCCTGCCACGCATGCGCGAGATATGGGACTCATATGAGCAAAGATGGTGACGAGTACAAACTGAGATGTTACTAAGCTTTAACTATGTAATTTCTCATATATTTATTTATTATTATATATCTATTTATCTTATATACTTATATATTTATTGCTGTAAACCAATAGAAAATTTGTACTTCTAAGGATGCAATAAAGTTATTATCATTATTGGTGATTGGAAGGAATCAAAGGAGTCATCAGCGGTAATTGTATGTTACGCCTTGGTCAAAACACGTATTCATGATTTCCATTAGAAGAGCGCATTGGATTCTGGGAAAATAATGTTTATCAACACAAATGGTGCACATGCACGGCGCGACGACCACCGCCATTTAATGGCTTAATTCACTTTTCACATAGCAGGAAGTATTTGTGTGTGTGTGTGTGGTGTAAGTTGTCAATATAATTCATTGGAGTAAATAGCTAGTGCCTTCAAACATGGTACACATGTTCCCCATGTGACTCGCATAACCTGGTTATATTTTAGGGGCAAGGTAACAGTTATTTATTATGTATGCTCATCATATGGTAGAATAGGACCTAGTACATTACAAATAGTCCAGAGTAAAGTTATGTGTATATGTTATATGTACACAATACATATCCAAGGACAAGAAAAAAAAATAGCTAGTGCCTTCAAACATTACAGACATGTTCCCATGAGATCTGCAAGACCTTAATTATGATAGTTCCTTTATTTTATCTTTTTTGTATTTTTTCAGGGAAGACCTTCATTGTTTAAATTATACTACAATGTTCATAAAGGAAAGCCTTCGTTTCCATCCTCCAGTTTCAAATATATCAAGGCGAACAACAACTCCATTGCATTTTCCAGATGGGAAAGTTCTTCCAGCAGGTAAAAACACTGTACTGAAAGAATTTGTTAAATGCAAATGGCTGCCAATTATGATCTCATTGAAGCGAGAGAGTCACTTGTTGTTTGCCCCTCAACATTTTTCCATTTTTTTTGAATCTGTACTCTGTATTGTACAACTGATCTATGTAACCATAGTATTTGGGTAGACACAATCATGAGAGACAATTGTACACTATTTTGAGAGAAAAGAAAAACAAGTCTTGTGGCTCTGTCACTCTTGAAAATAGTTCCCTCTAAGGTCAATTCCAACTACAGATGCTTCCTTATTTTGATATTACCAGAAACACAGTATGCATTTATTTATGTGTAACATTATTTCTCATTAGGTTTTTCTGTGGCTATATTTATACTTGGTGTTCACCATAATCCCCATGTATGGGATGACCCGGAAGTATTTGATCCGATGAGGTTCTCATCTGAGAATAGTAAAAACAGGACACCATATGCATTCATACCTTTTGCAGCGGGACCAAGGTAATCACAATTTTTGTTTATTGAAAAGTTTTTTAACAAGTACTATACCGTTTACTGTAAAGGGGTTAATTATTCACTGGGTTTTAATTTTGCTTATTTCGCTGACTGGAAAATGCGCTAAATTAAAACCCAGTGAATATGTAATATTTAGTATAGAACACATTATCTAAATTATAAAACCGTGAATTTAAAACCCACTGAATGTGCCTGAAATGATAAATCAGCGAAATTTAAACCCATTGAAAATTAGTCATTTTACAGTAATTTCAAAGAAGACAATTTTCAATGAAAAAATGATCTGGGGTCCTACATTGACTGCAAAATTTTGTCTTAAAGCAGGGGAGTCGCCACCTGCGCATATATCAGATGGCCATATCGTGTCATTGTTTACAAACAAGCATCTACCCATGAATGAGCCTTTGCATTTTTAGCATGTGTTGTTATCGTCGCTTGGGACTCATGTGCAGGTGACGACCTTCCTGCTTTAACGTAGAAGCCTACTCATAATTTTTTGAAAAGTACTGTATGTCACAAATCATGACAATGTTCATTCATTTAATACGTAAAATTATGAAGCTAATGTCCCATGGCACCATGAAATAGCATTCTTTTGTGTGTACAGTGACATATTTTGAGAAACTGCAATTGTCGAAAATCGCTATTTTTAAAATTATTCCATAGAACACAATGTTTGCATTTTTGACATTTTTTAAAACCCAGATTTTTGAAATAATTGAGGACAACAAAAAGTACCCCATCATTCACAATATATTATTTTTTCAGCCTATGTCACCAGACTACAATTTGAAATGTGGCTTAATATCTTTGCCATAGGAACCTATAGTAAAAACGTTATAATGCTGTCAAAATGGCCACTATATCCACAAAAAATACAACCATCATTTTCTCGAAAATTAAGTTGGTGACCCCCAACTTATTTTGAGTCAATATTGCCCGGAAGTACAATTTTTTGTAAAATGAATAAATTCTGGGTATTTACGATATGAGTAGGCTTCTACCATAATGTATGTCATAAAATCTTGTAGTCATAAACATTTTTAGCATTGAAAATTAAAAGGTTTAAAGTGTTTGTGTGCTGTAATTGTAAACATATTATTTTGACTAATAAATCACTTAAAATTGTGACACATAAAATTTCTTTGATGTGCTCAAACTTGATTGATTTTATTTGGACTGTGTAAATTTGAGATATATACAGTGGCCCCTCGCTAAGTCACGGGTGTCGGGATCGAAGCAAAAACTGTGACTTATCGAGGGTCTGGTGAAAATGGATAAAAAGCACATGGGTTTATTTATAGTATGTTTTCTTTATTGGACAACATCACAGCGTTCATGTCCGCATGGATTTAACTCATTGCAGCAAGTTTGATAGAGCTTTATCACAACTTCATAGCCCTGTTGACACCTCGAGTCAGGCTGCAGACAGTAATTGACGACCAGTAGGTGTTAACAGTCAACTAAATACAGAATGCAACGAAACATTAGTTCTTCTACTTCAAAACTGCTGGCAAAACACAATAGAATTTCTGGGAGCCACCCAACTACCCACGACTTAGCTGGAACTGCGATTTACTGAGGCACGACTTAGCAAGGGGTCACTTTGAATAGGATATAAGCAAAAAATAATGAAAATTGCCAATTTTAGTCAAACATGGCTGCTATTTGTTCATCTTGGATTGCAACACAGACCAACTTTTGTCTGTGTTCTAAGTTTAAATATAAGCAGAATTGTGCAAAAAAATAGTAAACAAATTGCAGATTTTTATGAAAAAAAAATGTCTGTCAAACATCTTGACGAAGATTTATTTTCAGTGATGTACTACAATAGAATTGCCCATGTACCAAATTTGAGCATGATTGGACTGATACACAATTTAAGTATTTTTATTTTCAGAAACTGTATTGGACAAAACTTTGCTATGAATGAGCTGAAGGTCGTGATTTCTCGCATACTACATCGATTTGAGCTGTCAATTGACAATTCTTGTCCCACACCAAAGAGACGTTTTGGATTTGTGCTGCGAGCAGAAAATGGTATTTACATAAAACTTAAACCGAGATCCAGCTTTTAATATTCATATTTATTCTTATTATTTATTCAAAGTTAAGAATGTACATTAGAGTTAGCAGGGAATGTTGTTCAGTCAGGCATGCATGACACAGTATATTGTTATTTCCGAGATGAACTAAAGATTTCACTGTATTTACTTAAAATGCTTGTTTGGGTTCAATTTTCACAACTCTATAAAGAGTCTTTGATTTGTTGTATTTATTGTTAGTTCATTGTTTTTAAGTGAAATTATTGCATTTCTGTACTTCAGAGGTGCTTCACACCACAACATGCATTCAGAGCAACTTGTCATTACATATCTACTAGATACATTTTCAGTTTATTATATACTCTATTCTATAACATTGTATTGCACGCATGAATAGGAGTATAAGTATAATTGTGGAGTATAAGGGCTAAAATTTGTTTGGCTTTTTTGAATTTGAGTTATTTACTTCATTCAATAAAACATTACTTCATCATTTGATTGTCTACAGAGTTTTCACAATGAAAGTCGTAATGAATTGAGAAATATCCAAAATACATCAAATGATGACTGAAAACGAAGTAACAAATCACAAGCCTTGGTAGCGCTCTAGACTGCTGGTGGGGACCGCAGCAGTCCAGGGCGCCACCTACGCCAACTTGTCAGGCTAAAGCCTAGGCAGATGTATGAACTCCAGTGTGTACTTTTAACCTTGCTTTTGCAATTTAACATTTAGATACGACTTGTATCGTTATTCTTTTAATTTTTTGCAAAATAATCACAAATTTCAATCGTTTTAAACAAATTTGATTTTTGCGCTCATGGCAATGATCGACGAAACCCTGCAAAAACTTGTGGATAATTACCAGGATACTGAAAAGTATATACAAAGACCACACAGCAGAGGTATGAGTGCATACTTTTCGGTATCCTCGAAATAAATAACATTATTATACATCTTTTCTTCCCAAAGATACATCATGGGAATGCCGAAATACAAAAAGTTTAGAACAGATTGAGCGAACTTCTTTGTATGGCGTCCGGTCAAACCCTGGGGTCTGCCATGTTTGTTTTCATTATAAGAGGACGCTTATGCACGCAATAGTTCCATATTTGTAATCCGCTTTTCTAATATGGTGGGACGAAAATGCCCAATGCAATACCACAAAATTACGGCACACTATCTTATGGCGTTATAATAACAGATGTATAATAGGTGTTAACAAATGCTTTCTACAGCCAATTATGTCTTTGGATTGGAATGAAGCACAGGAGATCAATGAATACTTTCTAAAGCTGTGCAGACCATGTGGATACACACCTGTAGCAACTTTTACAACAACTCAAACAGGTTTCAATTTATTTTATTCCAATAGTTGAGATGTATATACAATTTTTGTAAGTGGCAGTTGATTATTAAAAATATTGAAGGCAAATTGTCTTCAATTAAATTACATGGTGAAAATCAATAACTCTCAGCAGAATGTTTTTTGAGCCTTCAGCTACACATATAAATGAATATGATCATTCAAGTTGTTGGAACCAAATTCCGTCAGAAATGCAGATAAATTTGGTCAAGCATGTACTTGCAATAAAACCCCAATTTAAAAAGTTAAATGTAAAAACCTAAGATTATAATTGATTTATACTGTATCTATAATTCAGTAAACCTGAACAAATTGCAATGCATTGTAGAAAGGTCTAGTTGACAAGATATTGAACATGTGACATGTTTCTATAACGTTTGAACATGATCAGTCACGAAATGTCGGAGGTTCGTTTCCAACATTTATTAAAATAAACTGACCACTAATTGAAGCTGATCTGAAAAACAAAATGACATGCAACATCCCATAATGCTCAATGTATGTAACAAGTTTGAACGAACGAGATTTGCTTCCAGAATGGCAGAAATACTTAATATGGTTGTCATTTGGCATTCAATTATGCAAAATAAGTAATACATATAATGTAAAAGCATTTATTTTCCCTGGTGTTGAATTTCACTGGGTTTTAATAAGTTCACAAACAATACTATTATTTTACATGCTCATGTGGATTAAATTTTGCGAACTTATCAGCGAAAATTGTGAAATTAAAAACCAGTGAATAATTAATCCAAACTAATTGAGGTGTAGATTATCACAGATTAACCATGTACGGTACTAAGTTTCATTGAAATATCAACCCAAAATCTTCCAATTGGCCGATTATGTAATTTATATATTTAATATACACAAATTTCGACCATGATTTGGTCATGCCTGATGATTATTGCAAAGCATGTATGTATCAAGTTTCATTGAAATGTGAGATATATTAGTACAACCATGGTACAACAGATACACGCACGTACATACAGTGTGTTCTAGAATATCCTTGTGAGCCACACACATGGAAGTCGAAAAATACTACCGCTAACATTTTTATTTCAATTCAGGTGCGTTACGCATTCACCATTGACAGTAAGAACCAATCAGCTGGTAGGCTATTTTCCTACGAAACTCAAACATTTCCAAACCACCCGAATGATGAGTAGAATAATTGATAAATGCATTGTGTATCACTTTATTAATGAGGTAGCTAAATCTTGAAGCCGTATTACTCTTGTTTCCATGCCAACCTGTGCCATACTTCGAAAACAAATTTTCATGCTTGTGTGCATTAGTTTGCTCATTTCTACATTTTTCAATCAACGTGGTTTGGTCATTAACAGCAAACACCACAGACGACAAAATCTGGTGGTAGCACCCATCATCATTTCTATAATTGTAAACAGCTAAATGTCCATCTTGATGCTTCACTGACTGCCCAGGTTGTAGATCTGGAAGGTCTACAATTGAAGTGGTGTCCACTGCACCATACACTTGCATACCTCGGAAATACAAATCCAGAATTATTCGAGAAGAACATGAATTACTATCCAAGTAAACGATAGGATTCAGTTCTTCAAAGGGTTTCAGCAAAGATATTTCAACATCAGACTTTGGTGGCAACTGACACCCAGCTACTTTCAACGAACATACATCATTGAATATATATCCCAAGTTTGAATCAAAAACAATATGAACTAAGGAAGATACTGGGGTGATATTCTTAGAAATTTTACCCTGTGAGTCAACAGCATAGACATTCACACTCAGTTCCGCACCTGGCTTTCTCACTTTTAGTGCATTCTTATTAAATCTTTCACAGATGCTATCAAAAAATTCTTGCTCTTGCTCGCTCGAGGACTGATTAGAAGGAAAGAGAGAACGCAACACTTCTTGAAATCTCTCTAATCCGAGAATTGTTTTAATCTTTGCATTACCGAGGTCTGGTGCACAGCTCCAATAGTGCTCGAGTAAAGGAACCTGACTATATCCTTGAATTATGCAAACACCTATAAAAGCTTTCATTTCATCAACTGACGTACCAACACAAGATTCATTAGGATATTCAAAATTTGAATTAACCCAATTCACCATAAGTTGTAACATTTCATCATCAAATAGTTCCGTGACAAATCTGATTAAGCAACAGCCTCGTTCTAAACTGCCTACGTATAAAGACTTATAATCCGAAGCTTGATGGTTTTTGTTGACTGACTCTTTCACTGGTTCAACTGTGATTAGTTCCACGGGCGCAGGAGGTTTTATGACGGATTTCTTTCTCTTGTCTTCCTTTCTAACAAGTTCAGAGCTCTTGGAAAAAGTACAAGACTGTTTGTGATCTAAATAATGATGTTTTAATTTAGTCCTAAAGGAACAAGCGAAGCAGCCGTACATCATTTCTTCTCTCTTCAAATAGTGCACACTTCTTAAATGCAAGAACATTGCACTTGTCTGTCTAAAACTAGCCCTACATAAGTAACACTGGAACGGTGACTCCCCAGTATGTCGAAAAATGTGCTTCAAAACACTGCCTCTATCTTTTGATGTGTATTTGCAAACCTTACATTTGAATAACTTGTTAACGATATCAGATTCCATCAGATCATGTTTTGGGGTATGTCTTTTCCTCCATTTGCTCAATTTACTGTTCCTTAACATGCCTTGCATCCGTTTATTAATTTCAGCCCGAATGAATGAAGCATCAGTTGATTTTTCTTTTGAGATGCAGCTCTGTTGATTAGTATCTGTGAGATCTATGCAATCAATATCACACGAGTCAGGGAGTTTTTTTTCTGAAAGATGTTGACTCTTGTCCATTTCATGTGAAGACTTGAGCTCCGTGCCAACATTCACAGCTTGCATCGTCTGTGATTCTACATGTACTCTGTCAGTGTCCTCTATCACAGTATTTTCTTTAGAGTTCAAAGAGATGTTTTGAATTTGTGGGAAAGCACCTGTATTTCCTGCAACTTCTGGATTTGGAAAGTGCTCTTTTTTGTGCTCAAGATAGACATGTTTTAGTTTGTTGTGAAATGGCAAACACAACACCCATACTGCATCTGCTCACCTCTGCAATGGTGCAGGCGTCTCATATGTAAAAACATTGAACTTGACTGTTTAAAACTTTTCCTACACAGATAACATTGATATGGCTGCTCTCTAGTATGTTTTGCAAAGTGTTTGATAATACTACTCTTAATTTTAGAAGTGTATAAACAAATCTTGCATCTGTACACTTTTGCTGATTTTAAAAATTCAATATCAGATGACAAAATATCTGTGCTCTTTCTGGAGTTTTCTGCAGAAGACTGTGCAATGGCAACACCGCGACCAGCATCAACAGCAGTTGGGATCACTATATCAGAAACAAGAGTTTCTCCATCATCTGGCTTGTGAGTGTTCTGGTGGCTTTGAAAGAGATTCTGTGAAGATGTTTGAAAGTTACATATCGAACAAATATACTGGCTACAACCACCTTGTGAAATGGAATGCACCCACTCAAGGTGTGTGACTAATGTATGTCTCTGTCGAAACTGTCTGTTGCACTCAGGACATACATGTACAACAGGAGGCTCAACGGGAACCGGAGGCTCAACGGGAACTGGAGGCTCAACGGGAACCAGAGGCTCAACGGGTACAGGGGTCTGTTCCAGCAGAACCGGTGCTTCAACGATTTTTTTTTTTTGCTGAGGTACTTTGAATTTAGATAATTTCACATGTTTGGAGTGCCTCATAGGTTGAGCTATTCCATGTATTCTTCTCATATGCAGATACAATGCACTGCTTTGGGTGAATGCAACGGCAACACCAACCGTTTGACAAAAAGTACATCTGAATGGCCGCTTACCAGTATGCTTGGGAGAATGTTTCACCAAGTCAGATTTTCTTTTACAGGTATAAGAACACTCTTTGCAATTGTACTCCTTTTTAGATGGACTCCATTCATAATCAATGTCCAACTCTTTTCCAGGTTTTGAAACGATTGCGTTACCATGTGAAGCTCCTGATGTAGGAATACTGAGCAAAGCACTTTCACTTTCCTCTGCATTTTTGAAAGAACTGCCGTGTGAACCAGAAATCATGTCATCAGACTGAGAAATTACTATAATTTCATTTCCATAGTTATTTTTTG